TGACCTCCATGGGTACCACATGACATGAGTGCACTTACACACATGCATGCAGTACCATACACATAAAATAAAAAGGAGGAAAAAAAGCAGAAAGCAAGGAAGGAAAGTGTTGAGAGCAGAAAGGAGGAAGAGAAGAGAGGGAGAAAGAAAGTCTTCACAGATCTTCCCTTTCCCTCCAACCCCAGCTGGGAAAGGGTCCTTGCATAAGGGACCAAGAGCTCTATACCCATTCCTGGCCCCGTGCCTGTACTGTGACCTGGCCATCTCTTTGTTGCATAACATCCATGGATTTGCAGGGCCTAGCACACTTGAATTTTCGGGTCCGGTTCCAGCAAATGCTGATGTGGCTACCCATCGGTGTGCCCCAGGAATAGCCCCATTCTAGCCAGATGGCAGGAAAGGCCTCTTCAAGGAAGAGGCCCTGAATCTGAGGCTTGCAGAGGAGAAGGAGCTAGCCTGGGGATAAGGAGGATAAGGCTCAGTCTGCACAATGGCCCTGAGGTGGGAATGAAAGGAAACCAAGGCAAAATGGTGAGAAATGTGGGCTGAGAGGTGAACAGCAGCTGACCAAGGTGGGCCTTGTAGAGCTTTGTTCTCATGCAAGAACAGTGCAGGCTTTGGGGAGTTGGTAAGGCAAGAAGGGACACGGTGTGGGTGAGTGTCAAGAGCTGATCCTGACTGTTGGGCAGAACTGGATTTTGGTAAGACAGACTTAAAGGTGAAGGCAGGGAGACCAAAAGGGGCCTTGTATAAGAAAGAAAGAAGGAGAGGACTGGGGAGATGACTCAATGAGTAAAGTGCTTGCTGTGTAAACATGAGGACAGAGTTTGGATCTCCAGCACCACATAAAAACTGGACACAACAGTGCCTAACTATAACCCCAGCACTGAGCAGGGCTGTAGACAGGTGGATCTCGGTGACTTGTTGGTTGACCAGGCTAGCTGAATCAATGAGCTCTAGGTTCAGTGAGAGACTCTGACTCAGAAAATAAGATGGTGGTCCATAGAAAACAACGATAGAGGTAGACACCTGAATCAATCTCTGGGCTCTACATGTGCATGCACAGGCTAGTACACCTACACACACAGGTGTACCACATATATGCCACATGCAGAAATAAAAATAATAATGGAGGTGCTGAAGAAAGATGACATCCCTCAAGGCATGGGGTACAATCCCCAGGAATAGGTTATGGGCTTCAAGGACTCAGAGGAGAATAACGGACAGTAGCCAGGCTGGGCAGATAATGCATTCCGGCTTGGTCCTTGAAAGTAGTTCTGCAGTGGTGGTGAAGTTGCTGTTCACTGAGTGGCGATCCAGGCACTTTCTCCTCAGAGGAAGGGCACCGTGCTGCAAGGCCACAGCTTGCGGCATGAGAACAGGAAGACAGCCAAGACTCCACCCCAAGGTTTCCTCCTGTCCACTACCATGAAGGAACTTTTTTGTGGTGTGAAGAGTTCCAGGAAGGGGAGGCACAAAGAGTGGGGGGATCTGAGGGAGCCAAGGCCAAGGAAAAAGTGCAGAACAGGCTAAGGGCCACATGAAGCCAGTATGCAACCCACAGAGGTGCAGTGATGGCTGTTCAACCCTGAGTGGGCCAGGCCAATAGGTAGGAAGCTGGAGTTGACATGGGAGTGGGCCTTGGCACTGGCTCCAGTGCCCCACAGAGGGGCATTGTCCCTGGGCAGCAGGTATGCCAGCTGGGGAGCCAAAAAAGGGCATGTAGCTCTCTGGAGGTGTGCCAAGGCACTGGCAGGGTCCTTCCGGGGAGTCCACCTGGCTCTGGAGCAGCTTGCCTTGACTGCTCAGGCCTGTTGTGTGTTCCAGACATGGAAGGATGCAAAGTGCACTTCCCTCTCTGACCAGCCAGGGCCTCTGTGACCTCAGAGCCACTGCCCCTCTCTCATCACCCTGCAGATGTAGACAAGACTCAACAATGTATCTCCCAGCCCTAAGCCATAGTTCACTCCTTCTAGACAGAAGTCAGTAGCTAAGATATGTCTCCAGATATGGTCTAAAGGCCACATCTGCATCCTTACCAATCCTAACACTAAGCAAAAGTCAACAGGGCAGTGTGGTTAGGAGTATATGACCTACACTTGAAGAGTGGACTCAAATCTATTCTCTGACACCCCTGGTTTCTTTACCTTGAGAAAACCACTGTCCTCTGAGCCTCCAGTGCTTCTGGGAAGGGCAAGGATGCTGATTACCCCTCTGATAACACTGTGACCAAGTGAGCCCCAGCCTGTACCCAGGCGGGGGTGACCAGGCTCCTGCTGGCCAGTTCCTATTTGTCCCCTAGTTCACGGTCATTGTTCATTATTCCTTCATTCCATGACTATGCATAGCATTCCTGGTAGTGTAGATGAGGCAGAGGGATGTTCTGACTGCATAAGGACAAAATGAAAGCCTATGCCCAGGGCATGTGGCCCATAGGTAGTTTCATGCTCCCAGGAGCCTGGATGGCAGCACCACCAAGAACCCTACTGTAGCAAGAAAGTCATCAGGACCCAAAGAAGTGAAACCTCTTTCCCTGGGAAGCACAGCAAAGAAGTGGATGAAGTGGGATTCAAATGTATTCTCTTAAGGAAATCAGTGAGTGGCAATATGTGTCTTTGGTGAATAGAAGAATACAGGGTGGGCAAGGCTAAGTCTTCTTTCTCTCAAATTAGTTATCTGGACCAAACTGTTAGTATCATCTCTCTACAAAGCTTATTCTATTGAAAGCAATACCTGACAAAAGCCTCAACCACATGGTACTGAGCATTATCAGTATAGGACTGGTGCTCCTGGATGTGTGTCCTCTTAAGACAGTGGCTAGTAGAATGTCCATTTCACAGATGGAAACAGTGAGGCTCAGAGAACTTATGTTCATTCTGAGTGATAATGGTGGAGTCAAGACTTGAACCTGGTCTGTCCCATGTCACTCTCCTGGGTCCACTGAGCTGTGAAAATGTCCCCAGATGGGTTTTGAAGCCAGAGTTCTGCTTGGAATACTGGCTCTGCCATTCGCTGACTGTGGAAGCTGGTTCATTCTTAATAACACCAGGTTAACCAGCTGATTGTGGGAGGGGATGAGACCCACTGATAAAAGAGATGGAAAGCTTGGGGTGGCACCTGTCATGTCAGAGATGTTCATTTATCATCACTGCCACTGTGCTCATCACGTCCCATGGGAGTGACTGCCCAGGATGGAGGAGCCCCTTGTGAGGCTCATGGTGTGCCTAGGCCACCTCCTACTGTGTGTCCCTTCACCCCACCCCCACCCTCAGGCCAACTTGGACCTTCCTTTCTCCAACCCCAGGAAGCTAGAATCCCTGGCTGCCTCCAGGAAGGGTTCTGGTTCACCAAGAGCTGTAAATATTTACCTTGGAGACCTCAGCCCAGCCTGAGGTCTTGGCCCACATGCACAGGTCGAGATTGCAGGATATAAGGCTGGGCCTCCAGATCCACCACCGAGGGGAAGAGCAGGCAGACCTAGGACTCAGCACATCCAGGTAAAATGTGGGGAGGGGCTGGAAGCCTGAGCGGTCAGGAAGGCCCCTTACAGGGGACACCTGCTGCAGTTAGCACAGGAGCAGAGGGGGAGCTGGGCCTAGTAACATCCCTTTCAGCTGTGGCCTCTGGGGCCATAGCCAAAGGCAGAGAGATGCCAGTGCCCTCACCCCAAGACCAAGAGCAGTTATGAGGCATGAAGCAGGCTGGTTTTTCCCAGACCTCATTCAGGGACTTCAACCGGCTTTGCACACCCTGACTGCTCAATGTCTGCATGTGATGGGCTGAAGCTAGGGACAAAGAGAAGAATCAGCCACAGCAGGCTTCAAAAAACTCTCAGGGGGCCTTTGTGGGGCTTGTGTTCAAGGAAGGCCCAGCACAGAGCGGGGGCAGCCTGAGGAGGCTTCCTGGAAGAGGTACATGCTGGATGCAAAACTGAGTAGATACTGGAGAGAAGGAGCAAAAGCCATCCATGCAAGAGGACAGGACGGAGGACAACGTGGTGGGTGGGCACAGGCTGGGATTTGGGGCAGAAGACACTTCCTATGGGAGGAGATGCTATAGGCTCTAATGGCTCTGATGGACTCCTCTGTGCAGGGAGCTAAGTGGTGGGCATGAGAAGGGGGCAAAGGCGGCCAAGGTGTTTGAAAGACAAAGTCATGGTGAGGCTGCTTTGACAAGGGAATTGACAAGGGTTGCCACCTCTGCCCTCTGTCTTGGACTGTGGGGTGGCTTCCTATCATGCATCAGCAATAACAGGCTACATGGTCATGATTGCTAACATGCATGAGCACTGCAGAGACATGTCACCTAGTACCACATTTATCTTTGGTGACAAGAAACTCACATGCGGTGGCAGACCCAGGGCTCAGGTCCCCGGGCCCATGTCTCTCTTCCCTCCAAACAAGATAGTCCTCAGGGGCCAGAAGCTCCATAGGGGCAGGAAGACTGAGCAGAGCATGAACTGGAGAGTTCAGGATGATGTGCAGATGCTAATGCTCTGCCCCCGGGATGATGGCAAGTTGTCCAAGGGGTCAGACACCCCTGTATCTCCCCAGGAGATACTCATGGCTGGGGTAGAGGTGAGACCAGAAATGGATGTTTTGGGTACTAGTGATGGGTTTTTCTGTAAGAAAATCGGTAATACTTCCCAAGTGCTTCCCACGGGAAAGACACTCCACTAAAGTATTTACAGATATTAACTATTAAATCAAGTATTTACAGATATTAACTATTGAATCACATGGACTCTGTGAAGTAGGGCTTTGTTATGGCTATTTGCCAGAAGAGAACTCTGGAGCACAGAGCTGTTTGTAACTTGGCTAATGATCCAAGGCTGCACAACTAGGCCAAGGCCCTTAACCACTGCACTGAACACCTCTCCCGGACAGCATGCCCCAATCCACCAGGTATCAGGGGCTTCCTCTGGGCTTGTCTGCTGAGCTAACAGGGCCCTCTGTGCTTACCCAGGTTCTGCTGCCTCTGCCTCCCTGAAACTCAGGAAGATGGCTAGCCCGTGGATTGTCACCATTCTCTGTGGTTTTCTGGGATCCACGTTGGTTCAAGCAGACCTCAGTCCCCCTGCAGTGTTCAACCTCGGCCCAGAAATCATCAAAGAACGTAAGTTGTAACTCCCAGGCCTCAGCACCATAAGGCAAGGGGCAGATGGAGTGGCCCTCCAAAGAGAAAGGGAATTCCCCATCATTGGGGATGTGCAAGGCATGGGTGGGAGCCCAGGGCATGAGTGACGCAGGAGAAATGGCTGAGTTACAAAGGTTTGGAGTATTATGGGCTCAAGAACCCACGATGCCAAGATTTCAAATGTTGTTATTCTAAACACCCACTGCCCTAAGAATCTGTGGCCTACAAAAGAAGTATGTGGCCACTGCTCACATGATGTACCTTTCTCCCCTGGTTGCCCTTGCCTGAACTCCCATCAACAGAATTATGGCCAACATGCTCCTGGTCCCCAAAGTAAAGGCCCTGACAGGGACTATGGGGCCTGAGTCAAATACACAAATTTGTTATTCCAACTTTACAACCCTGGGCAAGACCCTGAGTCTCAGCTTCTTCTCCAGAAATTTATAGGATGGCCTTCTTCCCTGGGATGGTGGGAACCCACAGTAGCACAGGAACACCTCTCTATGGTGGAGGATGGTTTCTATTATGGGGCGGGGGGAGTGATCCTTGAAAGCATCTTCAACCCAGGCATTGGCTTGTGTCTCGTATGGGGCAAAATCACTCTAGTTGACAAGCACTGCTACAAAGTGTGGTCCCCTTAAAGGGGACAGTCACCAACCCCGGAGACTACCAGGAGGAGTACCAAGGGCCAGCCTGTTAAGTCACATGGGTTTGGCCAGAGCCAGAGGAAGAATCCCCAATGAGAGACAAAAGCAGCTAGTTCGGGGAGGTGGGGGCAAGGTGAAAGTGTGGTGTCAACACTGGCATCTGAGCTATAGGGAGCTTGGACTGAGTGGTTATGGTTAGAGGTCTGCTGCCAAGGAGCTGTTCCAAGTGGTGGTTTGGGAGGAGACCCCTAGAATCCCCTGCAGGAGAGTTAGAAGGCTGTCTAACACATGACCACTGATGGCACCAAACAACTGTTAGTTGTCACCAGTCAGGAGACAAAAATCTCACCACAATCCCAATGGATATGTTTAATGTAAAGGACTTCAATCAGCATTGGAGGAAGGGGGAATTTACCAAGAAGGAAGAAGGGAACTGCAAAGGCCCTCAGTAATGAAGTAGTATACAAGGAAAGCACATACAGAGTCAGAGACCCCTCCCCAGGCCTCCTGGGACTGGGTGTGATTGAAGCCTGCTGCTGGGGTGGGGGAAGATCACTGAGTTGTCCCAGGTTGGCACTGGCCGACTATTGCAAGCAGACTTCAGAGCAACACCTGCCCTGAGCTTGTGACATTCCCTGGATGAGGTTACTGGAGGGAGGAACTGCTTTATCTCCCTTCAGACACACTTAGAAACTTGACAGGGGTCTACAGAACTTACTCCAGATCTCAGTAACCCTGCTAACTGGCATTCAATACACTCCCCCGGCCCCTGGCAGTGACGTGTTAGAGGCAGAAGCTCTCTGTCCCCCTCTAGAGTCTCTACAGATGGAGTTTAAGACTGTGCCTATTAGTGAAGAAGAAATGTCACAGGGTCCAGTGCCATTAGCACAGAGCAGGCAAACATTTGAGAAGAGTGACATGAGAATTGTGACACACGGGGCTGACACACAGCTGAGGGGCTGACACACAGCTGAGGCTACCTACCTACTAACTGGCTCTGGTCACCTTTGAGAAGCTAGCAGGGACTAGCCCAAGGCTCTGGTTCCCATTTCTTCCTTCCTTTGCTCAGCACTTGAGGCACTTTGGACGAAGTGGGGTTCAATGAGGAAGTCAGGTTGTTAGCAAGTGTGCTTTGGCCACAAAAGTGCCCCCAAAAGAGCCTTGTAGGCTTCCGGCTGCTCAGATGGGGAAGTGATTGGTACTGGCTGGAGAGAGACAGAGGTCCAGCATCCCAGCAGCAGCTGCTTCTGCCCTGGGTGTGAGTGGTTCCCATTACCTCAGTCTCACTCTTCATGTGAAAATATGAAGGGCAGAGATGATATGACTCTCACCTGATGCCAGGTCCAAGAAGTCCTGAGTGATGACCATCCTCAGCCTGGTTTCCCTGAATTCCTCTTGACCCTTAATCCCTGGATCTGTCTACAGAGCTGACCCAACAACTGAAGGAACACGATGCCACCACCACCCTCCAGAAGCTGCCTCTGCTCAGTGCCATGCAGGGTAACTCAGCTAGGGGCATCCCCGTGTTTGACAATCTGGTGAGATCTGTCCTGAAATACATCATCTGGTGAGTGGGACTGGGGAGCACTGGGAGCCAACTCTCTCCTGCACCTCTCCCCACGCACACAGCTTACTCAGTTGTTAGTCAACAAACATTAGTGAAGACGAACTGGACTGGAATAGGTCCCTCTTGAGAAACCTCCAGAGTGGTGAGTGATAAGCAAAGGGAACTCTAAGAGGGTGGCCCCAGAAGGAGGCAGCCTGGGGCAGAAGAGTGCTGGGGCCAGGAGATGCTTCCCAGGGAAGATCATAGCTGAGCCAGACACGAAAATGCACTCCAGGCAGAAGGGTTTACAGTGAGCTTAGAGAACTGAGGTTTACCTCCTAAAGCCAAGGAGGCAGCAGACAGAAAACAAGCGTGATGGGAAGGATGGGAAGGACCATGCTAGAGAGAGGGTTGGTGGGCAGAGCTGTGGTCTAGGTGCTTGTCAGGCACGAGGAAGTCAGGAACAAGGATGGGGGCAGGCTTAGAGTGATGCTCTCAGCTGAGCACCAGTGCGATGCTCATCTCCCCTGCATCCCCCAGGATGAAGGTCACCTCTGCTAACATCCTCCAACTGGTTGTGGAACCCTCAACCTATAAACAGGAACTGGTAGTCAGGATCCCCCTGGACATGGAGGCTGGATTCAACACGTGAGTATCCCCAGAGTCTGATACAGCAGACCTGACAGGCTCATCTACTCACTCCCCTCCCTCCATGCAGGTATCTGGAAAAGAATTCCAAATAGAGAGAGCAAGTGCCAAGGTCCTTAGGCAGGAGTGTGCTCGCTTGATTCCAGAAAGGTGGGAGGGAGTGAAGAATCGGGGGGGGGGGGTGAGATCAGCTGTGGAGGTCAGAGAGTGCAAGGCTTTAGGGGCCCATCGGAGGATTTGCCTTTCATGTAGTTAGCAGACACAGAAGGCCTGAGCAGAGCAGGGGCATGAGATGGCTTAACATTTTTTCAAGGATCCCTCTGGCTCCTGTGGGGAAAACAGACTGTGTGGGGCAGAGTGGAAGTGGGAAGGCCATGCAGAGGTCCCCCCACATCTCAGGAGGAGATGATGATGGTTTAGGTCAGGGCTTGAGATAGGTCGCCCCATACCAGCCTGGGAGGAATGGCCAGAAACCAAGATGGCAAGGCTTGAGAGCAGCAGGCCAGGGGACAATGTGGCGTCCACTGCTGTCATTCTTCCCCGAGAAGCTTGGAGGACATCTGAGTAAGGTGTAGGGTGTAATTTGGAATCTGATGGCATCTGGAAGGAATGAGGTCAGGAGAGGACGCCAGAAGCTGGGGTACAGATGTGGAGGGATGAGGGGCACCAGCCAAGGAGACAGAGAATGAGTCAAGGGAGCTGGAGAGAGATACCCAGCTGTGGCTCCAACCTGGACTTGAACAGCACTCTTGGGGCTGCTGTCTCCACAGGCCGCTGGTCAAGACCATGGTGAAGTTCCACATGAACACCGAGGTCCAAGCTCTTGTCCGGGTGGAGAAAAGTGAGAGTGGCCACGCCCACCTGAACCTCAGCTACTGCTCCAGCAGTGGTAACACCCTGCGTCTCACCCTGCTGCACAAGTGAGTGCTGGGTTCCGCCATGGCGGAGGGAAGGTAGGCGGTGGCCTTGCCTACTGAACACATGAAGAACATTGAAGGGGAAGAGGATACATCTCTCCTGAGTCTACTTCTGGAGCTCCTTCCAGGGAATCTGTAATACCAAAGACAGTTGAGGATAGCAGAGACCAAAGCAGTAATTGTGGCATGATGCCAGGAGGTGGGGCAAACACCTACAGATGGAAAGATGCCTCCATCCTAGGGTCCCCCAAGCCACCCAGGGGAGGTCTGATGGGGGCAAAGGTAAGCTCATCCTCTTCACTGGCTACCTAGGTGATGTTGGGCAAGTTACCTCCCATGTCTCACCTTCCTGGTCTGAGGTTGATGACACTTTCCAGGCATTAAGAATGACATTTAATGCTGGGTGTAGTGGCACACACCTTTAATCCCAGCACTCAGGAGGCAGAGGCAGAGACAGAGGCAGGTAGATCTCTGTGAGATTGAGTCCAGCCTGATCTACATAGTGAGTACCAGGCTAGCTGGGGCTACAGGGAGAAGCTATCTAAAAAATAAAAACAAAAACAAAACAAAAAAAACCAATAAATAAATAATAAATAAGAATGACCCACTCATAATAGTGCATGGCAGGGGATCTGCCAGCTCCTGGCATCCCCATGTCAGTCTAGATCTCTAAAGACAACATCCATGGTTACATGTACACTCAGCTCAGCCTCTATAAAGCCCTAGCAGCCTGGGTGAACTTGAGCAAGCCCTTTCTTCCCAGGACTCCACCTCACCTCTGTAAAGCAGGAGTGGTCCTCTCTGATGCTTTCTAATCTCTCACTCTCCTCTCCCAAAGGCTCTCCTTCATGATCAACTCTGTGGCAAAGAATGTCATGAATCTCCTGGTGCCAGCCCTGCCCCAAATGGTGAAAACTCATGTGAGTGGAATCGGGCCTCTGGCCTATGGAGATGGTGCCCTTGTAGGGCTAATGTGGAACTGCAAGCTGGTGTCAAATGACTCCTTTCTTGGGTGGGGCTCCTTCTGGAACTGAATAATTCCTTCAGCAAAGCAAAGAGCAAAGGATTGGGCCACTGTCCCAGCTGGATCATGAGGTCAAGGTTACAGAACTGTCAAAAGTCAAGGGGCCTTGATCAGTCATGTGCTGATAAAGTTTTAACCCTTGTCTCTGGAGGGCTTGAGGGGAAGAAGTGCTAGCATGTAGCTTTTGCTGATTTCCCGGGTATAAATCCTCCCTCCAGGCTGACTTTAGACTGCTATGTGATGTCACCCAACAGAACTGACATGAACTGCACATGAACTGCCACCAAACAGACAACACACAGTGCTTCAAGAGCTATAGATGACAGAGACTATATAGTCAAACACCTAGAAAGGGATGAGTTTCCCACTTTTATTAAATTTATTAAATGATGTTATTATAAGTTTATATAATTTAATTTTTAAAACTAAGCTAGCAATTCCTGGCTATCCAGCATTTTGTCCTAAAACACTGGTCTGAGCAGGTTATGACACGCCCCTGTCTCAGCCATCCAAATATGGTTTGAAGGCACTGCCGCCCACCTATTACTTTTTCTGAGTCAGTAAACCCAAGGTGTGTGTGTGTGTGTGTGTGTGTGTGTGTGTGTGTGTGTGTGTGTGTCTGGTTTGGGGGATGGAACCCAGGGCTTCACACCTGCTAGACAAGCGTTCTAACACAGTGTCACACCTGCAACCTGGTGACTCTCATTTCGCATGCCCCTGATGTGTGACAGGTAAACTAGCATGTTGTAAGTGGATCCATCTGTATCAACCAGTGAAAAGATGACATAATGACTGAAATAATTGAGAGAGAAAACACTCACAATCCTTCTACCCAGTCCAGCAGCTGCTCTGCTGTTTGCATAATGCACTCCTCCATCTCACCGGCTCTGGTTTTTATGTGGCCGCATTTGATGTCAGCCTTGAAATCATGGGTGTGTCTCTATGTTATCAAACAACATTTATAATGGTTATAATAGCCAGATCCTACTCAACAGTTATCAAACTATCCCAAAGAGCCTTTCTTTTTAATAATGTATTTGTATTAAGATTACTTTAAAACAGCAATGGCAATATTTAAAGCAATATTCTATACACTGATGGGATTTTATTTTAAAGCAATATAGATCATCAGTTTCCCTCCAAATTGTTCAAAATTGTATCAAATCCCTCCAAATTATCTTCAAGAAAAATACAGCACCACGTTTTGCCTCTGTTTGGTGACATATCAACCACACAATCTCAGAATCATGTGTTTGTTTTATTCACTTGTGGTGAAGCTTCAACTTCTGTTTCTGTGCTTGAAAACAGTCTGTTAAATCTGTTCTTAGTAGACTAAACATGTATTATAGAGAACAAGAAAAAATAAGCAAATTTATTAAAAGCCTAGAGGCTGAGAATGTGCCTCAGTGGTATATTACTTGCTTAACATGTATGAGGCCCTAAGTTCTGAGTTCAATTCCCAGCAACACACACACACACACACACACACACACACACACACACACACACACAGAGGGGGGTGGGGAATAAATCCCCAATGAGATTTTATAAGATTAATTTAAGAAATAATATTGGCCAGGTCTCATTCAGGCTTATAATCCTAGCTCCTTTGGGAGACAAAGGAAGGAAGATTTAAGACCTTCCTGGGTCACAGAGCAAGGTTAAGGCCAACCTAGACAACTTAGTAAGGGGCTTTTTTTCAAAATAAAAAGTAAACCAAAAGGGCTAGAGATGTAGCTCAGTGGTAGACCACTTGCCTAGCATGTGTCAGGCCTCAGATGGATAGAAGGAAGGAAGGGAAGAAGGGAGGAAGGGATTGATTAGGTATCAACTTGTGAGATTACAGAGGCTGTGAGGTTTACTGAGGGTGAACTACTGATCTGGGAAGGAAGGAAGGAAGGAATTTATTGAGTAACAAAAATTTCACAAGATTCAGTGGTTTTAATGCAATTTGTCAGATAATCCCACCTTTCCCAATCTGGCCAAGGTGAATGAACGCAGATTCTTTTATTCCAATCTTAATTATTAATATTAACTCTCATATCATGTAGTACCTAGTAAACATGTCCCTGTATATATGTATATATGTAGTTTACAGAATAAATACAATGTAAAGAGTCTGCAGCAGAGTTCAAAATGTTTCAGAAGTGGCAGAGAGAAAGTCCGTATTGTTGAGATAATTGAGAGGGAAGCTGTAGAATCTAGCTGTGAGGTGAAAGACAGAGCAAACCAGGGTTTGGGAGCAGGAAACAGCCAGTCCAGGTCCAGTCCAGACAAGTGAGCAAGTGGACAGGCAGAAGCTCAAGCTCTGTACCAGGAGTCTGGGCACATATCCCTCCTCCTCTCTGGGTTCTGAGTTAGGAAAACAGATGGGAGCAGGGGACCATTGCACACAAGAAAAGTTGGCATCTCTAACACACTGCCCTTGCACAAGAGTATTGGGGGGCAGTGGACTAGATGGTCCCTCCATTGGGGCAGTTGAATCTAAGACAAAATTAATTCATTAAACTGCCTTGAGGCCTAGAACAGGCCCTTGGGTCCCATGAAGAGCAGAGTTGTCAAAGCCAGGTTTTCATAGGCCCCCACTTCCCCCACTGTTGACTGGGGCTGCTGATACTTTATCATGGGGCTGGACTGTAGATGGTGGGTGCTTATTAGCACCCTTGGCCTCTGTCTACTAGATGTTACTATCATTCATCTGCCACATTCTGATAACAGAAAATGTCTCCAGAATTTTCCAATGTCTTGCCAGAGTTATAAATTACTCTCTGTTGAGACATTCCAGCAATTTTTGGAAGAGAACTGTTCGGTACATGGGGATGTGTTGGGGCTGGAAACACACCAAGGACAGAGAGACTGCTTGGACTCCGATGGGGTGGACTGTCTGGAGGGTTGGGGATGGATACACCAGGGAGTCCTCAACCGCATAGATGGACATTTGACTGGCTGGGACAACACAGTGAGACTGGGGCTAAGAGGGGAGGAGCCTAGGTGGCCATGGGACAGAGAGGCTGGCTCCTCATGGATGGCCCTGTATTTGTTCTGTTGCAGCTGTGCCCTGTGATCCAGCAAGCCTTTGATGACATGTATGCTGACTTCCTGAGGCTGACAACAGGTGGGTGCATTTCTCTCTCCTTCACCTTTCCCTTAATCACAAGCTCAGCCTCCAGGGCCCACCTTCACCCAGAGGAGACCTCCCCAGTCAGGCCTGAGGAGCAACTTGGGTCCAGCCCAGGTAGGCAAGCACCTATTGGCCCCTGCCCAAGACAGGCAGTCCACCACAACTGCAACTTGTGAGCACTTTGTATGTGCAAGGCTCTTTGTGAAGCCAGCAGATACCGGTAGACCCAAGTTCAAATCCCAGCTCTGCTTCTGATTTTCTCCATAACTAAATGGTCCTTCCATTAGGGAAATTGAACCTAAGACAAAATTAATTCATTAACTGCCTTGAGGCATAGAACAGGCCCTTGGGTCCCATGAAAAGTGAGGCAGTGACTTTGAGGATGTCGTTCCACCTCTTTATCCTCAGTTTCCTCATCTGTAAAATGAAGCTTTCTACAACAAGACCTCAAAGGATTGTTAGTTAGCATCCAAAGGTTGTAGGAAAGTGCACTGCCTGGGCAGAGTTGCTTACAAATACATGCATGCATGCTAAATGGATGGATGGATGGATGGATGGATGGATGGATGGATAGACGGATGGTAGACTGACCATTGTGTGCTACTGAGAGCAGGAAACAAGGGCAGAGGTGAGCTGTGTGCCCAGGAGGGATGTCATTTCTACCTCCCTGAAAATGGCAGAGAGAAAACACAGGCTCCAACCTTCAAAACTGGTCGTGCTTAGCCTCCCCAAACCTCCCCATCCCCACCAGTGGGAGTCAGCAGGGGAGAAGAAAATCTCACCATGTACTGATTTAGAATCTTAAGAGGTCCATTCAGAGGGTGAACAAAGAGCTACGGGGAAAGAACAAAATGAATCACTAAGGCCCTAAGTGCTTATGAGGGTGGGTCTAGCCTGGGCACTTAAGTCTCACCATCCTCACTTCCTCAAAGCACAATGGCTCCTGTTGCCCAGCTGCACATGAGGAAACAGAGACTCATAGCAGTTAAGTCACTTTTCCCAGCTTACCTGGAGAGTCATGCTAGGCAAGGTTGGAGTCTGATTCTTCCTGCTCCAAGTAGATGTCAACTGGCTTGGCCATGACTATCATCCAGTAGAGCTTGCTATTATAACCCAATGTTTTTTGGGGGGGTCATTTTGGGGGTCTCCCTGTAGTCCCAGCTGGCCTGAAACTCACTATATAGATCAGGCTGGCCTTAGTCTCAGAGATCTGCCTGCTTCTGCCTCCTGAGTGCTGAGACTAAAGGTGTGTGCCACCATGCCTGGCTTTATAACCCAATTTTAAGATGGGGAAACTGGGAGCTGAAAGGGTAGCTTAGAGGTAGAACACTTGTTTAGCACGCATGAAATTCTAGCACCACAAAAAAAGAAAAAGTGGGGGTGGGGGTGGGGTGGACAAGAAGAAACTAATGTCATAGGAGCTCCCAAGTCTGTCTAGCAGCTCTGATGCCCAGGGGCAGGAGCAGGTGCAGGGGTAGGGGCAGAGCAGGCCTAGGTACTCACGTTCTTGCCCAACACCTGAGAAGATGAGGAGCCACTGTCACCTGTAGACCAAGTGGAGCAAACCATGGCAAACACAGGTGATGGGTCTACTAGTTGGTGCACACCTGGGGTGTGCACCCAGCCCCTACCCTCCTTGGGGAGTGAATTATAGTGAGGTAGGGGAGGCACAGGTTATAAATAGCAGATCGGGTTTGGTGTAGGACTGAATGGGCTTCCATCAGCACATGTAAAGGTCTAGCTCAGTGTCTTTGTCTTGAGCAGTCACTGTCATTATTGCCACAGTTACCACCAACAGCATCATTCCTCTGGTCCCTCTCTTCCCTCATACCCTCCTGTACTATTGCAGTGCCAGCTGGAGGTGGTGGGAAACCACCCCATCCACCCCTGCCCTCCACCCTCACAGACTTTCTTCTTGTCCCTGAGCAGAGCCCATTGCCCTCAGCCCTGGAGCCCTGGAGTTCAGCTTTCTGTTTCCTGCCATCCAAGACAGTAATATCCTGCTCCACCTGAGGGTGAGTGCCACAGAACCTCAGAAAAAAGTGGGATATCAGGGAAGAGCAGCTCTTCTCTCACCACCAGGATCCAACACCGTGTGAAAAATCCACTCACAACCAGGGCATGGGGGCTAGTGAAGTCACAGGCTGAGCATGTCTGGTACAATCCTGAGGAAGAAAGGCCAGCAGGTAGAACCTCACCCCCACACTGGATTCTGACCTCTGACCTTGACCCTGTGTGTGCCCGGGGCCCTGGAGCCTTCTCTCATACGAGTTCCTTGCAACATGGGCTCAGGACAGAGGCACTTCTGAGGATCATACAACCCAAACCTTCCCAGTTGATGATTCCCTGGCTGTGTGGTTCTGGGCAAGTTTCTAAACATCTCTGAGCCTCAGCTTCCTTGACTATAAAATATAATACTTAGGAGACAAGGAAATGAGACCATATAGAGCTTCCCAGACAGGAGGCATTCAGTAACTGCTGGGTCTCTATAAAACATGGCACTGTGTACCCAAGCTGTGGCAGGACTCCCTGAGGGCCAGACTAACTAGGGAGGTCTGAGTCCCAAGCTGACTTTCAGGACTTATGTGGAAATACATCATGGAACAGTTTCATCTGTTTTGTTGCAGTTTGAATCTTCCCTTCATCCAAAGGGCTTGAGAAATAAGTTAATAAAAAATAAGAATTTAGGTTGCAAGCTGGGCACAGTGGCATGAACCTGTAGTCCCAGATATTTTGGCAGTGGACTCAGGAGGATCACTTGAGCTGAGGCATTAGGGGACAGCCTGGGCAGCTTAAAGAAATAAGATCCCTTTAAATGTGTGGCAGAGGGATGGAATAAGGGATAGAGGGATACAAGAAGGAAGAGAACAGAGATTATTTGAGAGACTCAGGAGTGGAGGCTGCCAGGTACCTGAAAAAAATCATTCTTCATCAGGGCATTGAATTCCAAGCTAAGCTTCCTAACACAAATGTAAAGAGAAACAAGTGAATGGTCTCTGTCTTGGTTCATTTTGTGTTGTCATAACACAGTACCTGAAACTGAGTAGTTTATAAACAATAGAAGTTTGTTGGGCTCATGGTTTTCAGAGCTGGGGAATCCAAGAACATGACACAGCTTCTGGTGAAGGCCTCCAGGCTGCATCTGGCCATGGTGGAAGGCAGAAGAGTGGGAGAGAGAGTGAGAGCAAGGGCAACTGAGGGCTGACCTTACTTCATGAGGATCTATGCCCTCAGTAGCTACTCTTATTGTAACAGCATCAACCCATTGATCATGACCTAGTCGCCTCCTGAAGGTCCCACCTGTCCACCCTGTTGCACTGGGATGAAGTTTCCATCACAGGAACTTTGGGGAACACCTTCCCATTTCAGCAGGGTTGTTCCTTCCGGATGGCTGGGGCTTCAAAGTCCTCAACCCATGCCTTGCTCTGTGTTTCCTCAGGCCAGGTTGCTGGACTCACAGGCGAGGGTGACCAAGTGGTTCAACAGCTCTATGACTCCCCTGACAGAGTTCACCCCAGATGGGGCCCCTTTTAGCCTGATCTGGAGGCAGGACCTGGTGAATGCTGTTGTGTCTGCCCTGATCCCTGCAGAGGAACTCCTGGTCCTGCTGGACTTTGTGGTAAGCCTTGCTGTGGGTAAGAGATGGACTCACCTCTCTGTCATCTGCTAAAGGAACCCAAGGCAGGAATTCCCAGTAATGAAGGAGTTCTGCCTTCCTTTCAGAGACCCTGCCTTTGACATTCATCTCTAGGGCCAAAGGCCTCTCTTAATACCCATCTTGGGCCCTGGTTCTGACCTCTGGAATTGGATGCACCTGTTTCCTCTCCCAAATAGTCCTGGGGGAGCTGGAGGGCATCTTGGATACCAAGGAACCCAGGGATGGCACACATCACTAACTGATCAGAGCTCTCCATGCTACTGAGCCTGGGTGCCAATGCAGTCTGATTAACGTAGCTGTCCCACCTCCCTTCCTCTCTCCCCAGCTTCCTGAAGTGGCACGTGAGCTACAGGCAAGCATCCAGGAGATCAACAAAGAGGTTTGTCTGTTTGCCACCTGCAGCTTGCTGGGTGCTTGCTGCCCCTGGCCATAGGTCTCTGGAGTGGAGAACAGATATGGGTTTCTCTCCCCTCTCACCACTGGGGACATTACAGGCCCAGGCACTGGGCAGCCTGGAAACTTCAGTTCAACAGAAAAGCTTGAATCAGATGATCCCAGAGGTGATATTTCACTGCATAGGTAGTGGCAAAGGACTAGTACTGGGTGATGAGGATGATGCTGAGGCCCTGTTCCAGGCTGGGAAACCAGAAAGCATCCCTGATGGGATGTACAGAGAGTACAGGGAGGGCAGTGGCTGAAGCACAGGGTGGCACCCGAGGGCCTGCAGAGGCCAGTACACTGTGGCAAGGCGCATGGGTCTCATGTCCTTCCAGGCAGCAAATAAGCTGGGACCCACTCAGATCGTGAAGATTGCCCCTTACAGCAGCCCTCAGATCCTGCTGAGCCAAGACAGTGCCAGGGCAGCCCAAAGGGTCATGTTGGAAGTGTTCGCCACCAATCAAGATGTCAAGCCCTTCTTCTCCCTCGGCATCGTGAGTTCAAGTGTCTGTGACACAGGTCAAAGACAGTGGTCTTCCTGTTCATTTCTGGAAATAGGGGTATCATTGTACAGCAAGAGGAGGAGGGGTGTGCTGGACCAAGAGTCAGGAACTTTGGAAGTCCATCAGTCACTGGCCACCACCATCCTATAGGGGTCAAGGGAACATAACCTTCCACAGGGCAGCTCTGTTCCAGCAATGGAGCATTTTCCAGAGAAGGGGCAGCTGTGAACTCTTAGGGGCGACATGCTGCAGCTGGAAGACAGATATCCCCCTATAAAGGGATCAGAGAAAGGCACCAACCGTATCCAGTACAGGGGCAGAAAGTGTTCAAGCAGAGGCAGAACTCAGGAGCAGGTTCTGGGTAGGTAAGGCCAGCCCTGCCTAATCAAGGCAGCTGGCCAGTACCTGGTTGTGAGTAGAGGGCTCATGTTGATATTTCCTTATGGTAGGGTCTCTGAATACAGATGTCCAGGTTGCCCACCGCACAATTTCAGGGGTGCCTTTCATAGATTATATGTTTAATGGTGCCGCCCAGAGGGTTCAGCTTGATGCTCTGTTCCCTTGCAGCCAAGGGCAGTGAGAACACACTGTCCAGGCCAACCTCACTCCCTACTGATCCCTCCAAGGCCAGTAGGAGGCACTACAGGAAAAAATGGTCCTATAGGTGCTGCTGTAGTGAACCTAACATTCTGCCTTCAGGTCACCCCTGCCCAGAGGTCAAGTTGATGCAAGTCTTGGACCCCGCATGTGGAAACTGACTTAGCTTCTGAGCTTTGCACATAATACTAATGATGGCTAGAGTATACCAGGAGTTTGACGACCTTCTATGCCCTCAGTCTTCTCTGTATACTATGGGGCTGACATGTCCCCATCATGGGATGGTGAGGCACACAGGGACAGTTGTAGAAAGCTCTTGTACTGGGTGACACACGGTGAGCTGTCCATACATGTTGGCTGCATTGGCATCATCCCCAACAGGCCTGAACTGCTGCCTGTGAAACGGGGCCTGAGACATGGAAAGTGAAGACTGGGGAGGTCAGACCTTTTCCCAAGGTCCCAGAACCAGTAGTTAAGATTCAGATCAGGTGACCTTGACCCCAGATCTTTCCTGTATAACCCTCACTCTCAAAGCACTGTCTTTAAAAAATGAGACCTGGGTTCTCGTTGCAGGAGGCCAATTCTCAAGCTCTGTTTTTCACCGAAGGTGACCGACTTATGTTCAACTTTAATAACATCAGGTAACTGTGTTAATCAATGTGAAGAGTCTGCCACAGATAGCGTGCTGGCCCAGCACCATGGGATTCTTTAAACAGCCAGCAGGTGGCACCAAAAAGAGCTGAGACAGGCCAGGCAGAAGGCTGCCTTGCCTAGCCTCACCTGCCTTGAGGAATGGATTCAAGACAGAAGGAAAATGAAGGACTTTAGAGCAGCCACAGAGCAAGCCCAGCCCAGCCACAGGGCTGACCTACTCAGAACCACCCATTCTGAAAATTTCCAAGGCAGCAGCAGTGAAAGCCCCAGACCTGAGCCCTTGGGGCTGGCACAGAAGTGCCCACCTTGAGCCCTGCTGACTCTGCAGGGTCTGCCACCTTCTACCCCAGAGCAAGTTCAGGGACTCTGACTGGAGGCTCCTGGGATAAAGTTAGGTTCTGGGGGGGCAGTATTCTGATTCACCGGTACAGGGTCAGATGATGGAAAGATGATAGACATATATGTATTAACTACAAAGCTATAAAATTCAGACATTCTGCGCTGTCATTCCTAGACCATGCAGTTGGCCAGGAATTGGGGACCCCCTCTAGAAGGGACTTGGGCTCCCTAGTGCACCAGTCCTCATTCCTGGGTGATTTTCTGTCCTTCGGGCCACTGTCTACTCCCGCTTTAGAACATGAGCACCATGAAGTGAGTACTTACTTTGCTTCACAACTGTATCATGAGCGCCTGCCTGTGGTTGGCACAGAGCCAGAGCTCAGTAAACAGTGGTTGCTGAGACCCCAAGGGACCACTCTCACAGGCATTTTCTATTACAGTATTGATCGAATCCAGCTGATGATCTCAGATATTGGCCTCTTCAATGTAAGTATTTACAGATCATCTCTAAGGGCCTAAGGGCCAGAATGGATCATTCTGAAAAGAGACACTTATTGTATATGACTTGCTTCAATTTGAGCTCACTATTAAAGAATAAAGTCCTTCTGTTGACATGGGGAAGCCCCTCCCCTCTTGTCCTCAGTTTCCCCAGGCCTCAGATGGATCCAGAGAGCTCAGTAAGGCTGAATCCTGTCTTTGGCCATGAATTGTCTTTCTTCTGAGACAAGGTCTTGATATACAGATCTGGCTAGCCTGTAACTCATTATATATACCAGGCTGGCCTTGAACTTCTGATAATCCTTCTGTCTCTGCATTCTGATTGCTGGGATTACAGGCATGTGAGGGTTTTTTGGTAACCAATATTCAAACGAGGCTTGTGAAAATCAGGACAGTCGGCTTCTCCTCAGAAGCAGAGCTCCCTCAGGACTCTTGTGGCTGGAGCAGAGCCCCTGAGGGTTAGGCATCCTCAGAGCAGCTAAGTGAGGGTTGCTCCCCAGTCTACCTGGTCCCCAGGACCCTAGCAGCTTGGTCCTGCCAGGGACCTGGGATTCCAACAGCTCTGTTGGCTGCCCTCATCATGGGGACAAGCCAGGTAACCTGGAATGACCAGAAGGACCTGGCAGAAAGCCAGGTAATAGTTCCCCTCTCCTTCACAGGCTGAAACCCTGAAGGGCATCATGACCAAGATCCTTGCCTCAGCACTGCTTCCCTATGAGAATGGTGAGGCCCTCAGCCCCTGGGGAACTTCTTGTAGGCTTGCTCTACCTCCTGTCCACACCTCCTGGGGTCCCTTCTAGTCATGATCCACTCATTCTCTGAACCTATTTCAAATTCTCCCCACTCCAAGGAGCCTTTCTGGTCACCAACTGGAGAGAATGTCTCCTACCTCCTCCTCCCAGCCTGGTCCTTTATTAGTGCCAACTCCAAGGCAGGCAGGGATGATGTGGCAGATACTAGACTCACAGGACTGGCCACGGCAGGAACCAAGTACAACCAGACAGGTAGCACTCACTTGAGGGACCTCAGGCAGACTGGGTTCACGACCCATTCTTCTTGCTGGCTGCTTGTCCTTAGACAAGCTGCCTGATCCTCCTGAATCTCAAGTTCTCCATCCGTGAAAGGAGGAAATAAGAACACCCTCGCCAGAAATGCAAATGAGATGTTGTGTCTGATGGTGGGGAGAGCTGTTACTCTGTAGCATCATCACCTTTTAAGTTTTTCTTTACTAGAGTGGGAAACCTCAAGTAAAGACGTCTGCTGTGGATGACAGGAGCTATGATAGTAGTTCTCGAACAAGAGTGTTAGAGGATGTGGGATGCACTGTGGGACAGCCCGAAGCCATACCAGATAGGGCTGAGTGAATGCTGGGGCAGAGGACAGGCAAACAGAAGCAGGGAGACAGACCAAATCTCAAGTGCCAGATCCCAGAATCTCCCTCCTCACAGAACTGTGAGCGTGCCCACTGCTTCCCAAGCCCATCTGGGCCCACCAGACTCTGACCATGTTGATTATTTCAGGCAAACTGAGAACTGGAATTCCATTGTCAATAGCAAAGGCCTTGGGATATGAGGATTCTATGTGGTCTGTGATGGAGGTGAGTGTTCTGTGGACATGAACAACCTGTTCTGGCTGGGAGTTGCCTATGCTCCACTCCTGGCCCTGCGGTCACTTGTGTTGGGCAGGGCTCCTAGTACTTTGGGCCACAGAAATAAACAAACAGAAAACACTGTCCCCCTGGCAGAGCCTGCATGCTAGCAGGCAGGGCATCTACATAAACCAGGATCACACACATCAAGTAGACAAGGGCTGGGGATAAAAGAAGATGGGCTCAGAAGAGAGACAGATGGTCGAGTGGGGATGCTGTTTTAGACAGGGTGGACAGGGAAGGCCCCTCTGGAGAGGTAAGGTTTGGCTGACACCTGAGGAAGCGGGGCAGTAAGCTCTGTGGGTAGTGGGAGAAATGTCCTCTAAGAAGGACCAGCAAGTGCAAAGGGGTGTTACTGCTCCGGGAAAGATGAGGGCGAAGGCCCTGGATCCCAGGTGGTGTCCAAGCTCTATAGACCTGACT